TATATATATATATATATATATATATATATATATATATATATATATATATATATATATATATATACATATATATATATATATATACATACATACATACATACATACATACATACATACATACATACATACATACATACATACATACATACATACATACATACATACATACATACATACATACATACATACATACATACATACATACATACATACATACATACATACATACATACATACATACATACATACATACATATATATATATATATATATATATATATATATATATATATATATATATATGTATATATATATACAGTGACCCCTCCATTAACGAACTCAATCCGTTCCAGAAGGTCATTCGTTAACCGAAAAGTTCGTTAACCGAAACCATTGTTTCAATGGGTTTTTGGGTAATTGGTTCCAGCTCACCGAAAATTTCCTAAATTCAACAAAAATGGTAGAAAAGTTCACTTACTTTGAGGTGTGTATGTAGAAGGCTCCTGGATGATGATGGGATTTGAATGGGGGTGGAGGAGAAGGAAGAAGAGAAGGCATTGGGGTGAAGAGAAGTCACCCCATGGCGCCATTTCACCCATAAAATTTTAGCTCTCTGGTGTAATTCAAGATTATTTTCTTTAAATCAACACTGCACTGCATTATATATTGTCAATATGTAAAATATATTTCAAAATGACCAATAATTTGCTTGGAAACAGAAAAAAAAGCGTTTAGTTGAAAGAGTCTCAAGCAAGATGTTACCTCCAGTGAAAACAGAGAGAGACTAAGTCCTGTTTGCTGCGTTAAGAGGCTGGATGCCGCGCATTAAACTAGTCACTTTACCTTCAATTATGTTCAATAATTGTTAAAATGACTAAAAAATTGAATATTAAACTTTTAAAATTATTGAATAGTATAAACTTCTTGATATTTACTAAAATAGTAAGGAATTTAAGCCCTAGAACCGATTAATGTATTGGCGGACTGATACTAAAGCTGGTTGCCCGGTCAGTGCAAGCGAAAACACGTTGAGGTCGGTTCGTAAGAACTTCGTTAACCGAATTTTTTTTCGTTAACCGAATTGAAGATCCTTATGGAAGGCAGTTCGTTAATCGAAATTACGTTTACCGAGGTGTTCGTTAAACGAGGGGTCACTGTATATATATATAATAATAATAATAATAATAATAATAATAATAATAATAATAATTAAAAAATTATGGCTAGGAAAACCCAATTTGTAAATGCACATTTTATTATAACAATGATGGTGTGTTGCTGCGCAGGGCGCAGGGGAGGGGCATGGGAAGCGTTTACTGAGGGAGGGAGAAGTGTCTGGGATACCGCCGGGTCCCCACCAAGAAGGAGTGTTAAAGGGGCTTCTATAACCTTATGAGTTTTATTTTTATACCTCTACTGTTTATTTATTATTCCTGTTTTAATAATAACAATTCCTACCTCTTTACAAAATGAGAGTACTGTAACAGAAAATGCAGTAAATTATAGAGCTTAAAATTTTTTTAAGGAATATCAATGGAAAAGTATTCAACTATGTGCATTCCTAATATCATTGAAACAGCCCATAATGACTTTACAATACAGTATATCATAGTTATTGGATATTAGTACAGCAAAATATTTTACTAAGTAAAATACAGGGTATGGATATTTACAAAACACAATAGCCATTCTTAGATAATCTTGCACTCTAAATTAAAAGTGGTTTTAAAGCAATCACTTACTGCTTTTTTTAATATCTACATGATGGGTAAGAACTGTTTCTGACAATATTCAAAATGTACCACTAAGTCCTGCAAAATTATCACAAAACTGCCTTAATTTACTGTATTTCAACAAGAATTCATGGGAGCAGCAATCTATAATGTCAAATTCTTGCTCAGTGGAAGGTCCTGTGCAACTTTCCGATAAAGTTACAGTAGACTTATCTCTAGTAATCAAAGTTGGAAATTGAATACCATACCAAAAATCACCAAGTAAAATAAAACCATCTACTTGCAACCCCTTTTCTAAGCATCCTGAATGATTCTAAATGCAATTACAGCAACAGGTTTTAGCATGTGTTTAACACTATCATCAGTATTCCTTTTGATACTAGATCTAACTAAATAACCTTCCAGGTACTAATTCATATCTTTACACACTGAACAGGCATTCATAAGTTACCTCAGCCCCCAGATTTTGCTCTTTAAAAGTTGCTGAAAATAACACATTATTGACTTTGCAATGTAGTTATAATAGTTACTGCAGAGATATCAATTTCATTAGATATATCATTCCCACGAGCAATATCAAGAGATAAGGTTCTAAGAATGATACCAAATTTGCCATTCATAAAGTTGAATTAAACATTTATAGCTAAAAATAAACAGAATCCTGGAATGCTGGATGTTTTTAAGATATCAACTTATATAATTCCAATTTTAGGTACATTATTATGTTTGCATGTCAAAGAAATTGGTTGCTATTTTTTATCCCCAACATGATAAACCAACCCCGGCGGCACTATAACTTGAGGAAGAGAAATTTTGAGTTTGTTCATGGGAGAGGATGGTATTAAGGAAGTTTGGTGGGTTGACCACTCCATGCCAAAACTCTACTTGTCACATTCTTTCTCACCTTTACAGTCACAAGCAACACCCACACTACACTGCCACCACAAAGCAATTCTGTACAGCAACTCTTCTACCACTGTGCCTTGTAAAAATCCCTTCTTAATCTTTAATCAGTACTTCTAAAGCCTTACATTCTTTGACCTAGGATGAGAAACATGGTATGCATGGGGAATGACATTGATAATAAATTAATTAAATGCTTCTTAAAACAATACCATTACAACATGGTAGGTAGAAATAGTGGGAAGGTGCATAAGTCAGTCAGTCAGTATTATATATATATATATATATATATATATATATATATATATATATATATATATATATATATATATATATATATATATATATATACATTGTATATATATATATATATATATATATATATATATATATATATATATATATATATATATATATATATATATATATATATATATATATATATATATATATAGCTAATCTAGACATACAAATAGGAATGATAAATTATTCAAATTCCCCATAGTTTCATAGTTCACAACTTGCTTGTACTGTAACCCAATAAGTATGATCAAATAAATGCCAGTATTCAAAAAAGAAAATCTTCTACAGTAGTTTTAATGCAGTATCTAATAAGTTTCATTATTTACAGTGGACCCTTGATAGAGAACAAGGTTCAATTCTCTAGAGCCTTTTTCACAAGGTTCAGTTTCATGGTCTCTTTCTCAAGCAAATCACTCTCAACTGTGGGGAAAATATGATTATGTTTCTGGACCCTAGAAATTTTTGTATATCCTAGAAAAAAGTAAAATGAAACTAAGGATTAAAGCTCAATAATGATTATTCTACATCACTACAATCCATACAAGAAGTCCATGTCCCTTTATAACCTCTCAACATTAATCATTACATTCTTTTGCCTTGCTTCTTCACATGTCAATGAGGTTAACATTTTGCCCCAATATAAAAATGAAGTTCATGATCTTAGCTGGCCTTGTTCCATGTCCCTTTTTATCCCTAACTGAAGACTTTCCAACAGAAGCCATTGTTCACTATTAAAATTATGATCTAACTGGAGACTATTGGAACAACTCGATGTTTATCAATATTTTGGTGCAATTTAGAGGCTGGCACTACTTGATCAGAACCATTCTCTATTGAGGGTCTACTCTCTCTCTCTCTATATATATATATATATACGCTGTATATATATATATATATATATATATATACACACACACACACACACACACACACACACACACACACACACACACACACACACACACACACACACACACACATACATACAGTATATATATATATATATATATATATATATATATATATATATATATATATATATATATATATATGTATGTATGTATGTATGTGTATATATATATATATATATATATATATATATATATATATATATATATATATATATATACATATGAATGTATGTATGTGTATGTATGTATGTTTGTATGTATGTATGTATGTATGTGTGTGTATATATATATATATATATATATATATATATATATATATATATATATATATATATATATATATATATATATATATATATATATATATATATATATATAGTGCATGCGCGCACACACACACACTGTATAATCAAATTACAACAAAATTATTTTAATAGTCCAATAATAATTAAAACTTCACCAATGAAGCAATAAGGCTATAGGAAGTTGATACTGTACATATCATAGCCTTCATCTAATTACTGAACTTTAAAATTTCATGCTGACAGTCTTTGTCTAGTTTCACCATATTTTTCTAATGACACTAACATATCTACTGGTATATTTTTTAACTTACAGCTGTGACAGCTATAAATCTCACAGATGATATGGAATTATCTATTATGAATTAATGGTCAGATCTTCATGTATTGTGTGTGAACCCAATGATAATTTAGCATACTAACCTTGTGTATATTTACTTATGATTGCACAAAGATGGAAACTATCTAGTACATTCCTTTGCTGAATTGGCAATAACCATAAAAAAAGGACTGACATACATACCTATATCACTATATCCATTTAAAGAGTGAGAAAAATAAAGTACAAAATTATATGAAAGCACCAATAGTTTGTGCCCATTTTGTGCCTCTTTCAAAAGTACAAGAGGTAAAAACAATACTGTTATTAAAGGATAAATGAGGTTACAAAAATCAATGCATGAAAAATAATGCAGAATGCAATTATCATTATCAATCAACTCCACAGAGGAAATTACACACTTGGGTAGACAAAATTCATCCCCCAGGAGTTGTGTAATACATAAAGCAGAAATTTTGGGGCTAAATATTCATTCAAAAGTATTTCTTTTAGCACTAATGTGTGTAACTTTGTCAGAATATCATACTGAGAAAAACTGTATCAGCCTAAGCATGTAATTACCCATTTCATTCCTTATCAGACACAATGTACTGTTGGAAATATGACTTGTCAGTTCACCTTTGTGAAAAGATCAGCAATTGATAACCTCTCATGCTTTGTATTAAATTCCTTACCAATCTATAGTTGGGAGTAATAGCCTTGGGGAACTTGTATTCAAAGGCTAAAATATTGCTGATCCAACCACTTGTTATTAAATACTTCTACAATGGACAAGAGTACACTATATACAGATCATCCAGTCTAAATAAAAATTATCAGAGTGAAGACCGAGACAGAAGGAATTTCGAGCAAAATTGTCTATGAGAATATAGCAATAGGATTGGGTGATATATTACATAGCATATATACTAGACAAGAGCAGAGGAGTCAGTGACCCCTCAGAATTCCTTACACACAGTTGTGATGTCGAGTGTCCAAGCAGTATCACTTATCACAGGCCCTATACAAGTTACAAGAGATACACAAATTAAGCCTGCCAGATTATGTGACATCACACTATATGGTCCCATAATCTGGTACGAAAACCTCAATCATGCTATATGATTCTTGTGTGTGGAGATAATGTAGTTTTATCAAATCATCTCTTCTCTGGTGTTTGTATCACCCAACTTTAACCAGGTTGAGTTATCCATTTGTCTGCACTGTAAACACCACTAACTAGGCTACATGATGCTTTGGTGTTAACACTCAACAATTGGTTAAAAAATGCTTAGATGCATCTGTATCAAACACCATAAATTATATCTTCAGTCCTGTTCACATAACGTATGCATTCAACATTTTGCAAAAGTCAAACTATTGTGTATTTTTGTATTAGACACCTCTAATCATGTCTTATAACTCTAGAAAGTTTACATCAATTCATTTTAAATGGGTTGATTGTAAAACTACAACTTTATTCAATCAGACGGTAATATAACAGCTGACTGTATCAGTTCCTTTATCTTTTTTCTTCACTGATTGAGGACCATCAAGAAATATCTTGTATTTTACAAATAATGTCAGTGCTTTGTTATTAAAACCTCCATTGTATTATTGTTATATTGTTTCTACTTTAAACTAAGTCACTTCTTACACCCTACGTCTTCTCATGCTTGCTAACGTCACATCGAGTATTGCCAGCAGTGTCTCATGACTCAATGATTTGATTTACATGACACTAGCTACAGAATACTTTGATTACAGGAGTTTTACCGAAGGAGTAGAAGTGTCTCTTGGCACTAGGGTGGTATGTACATAATACTGGCGGTGAGTGGGGACTAGAACGTGACCTTCTGTGTGGGACTCTTAGAGCTCACAAATCCGTCTATCCCACATGCCCACACCTGGCCAGCCCACCCACGCGCTTCCAGCAAATAATGCAAAGCTATGGTGAGGCTATGACTCAAGTTCACAATATACAGGAGACTTGAGTGCTCTTTAAGGGGGGCTGGGGAATTGTGGGGGCAGGCACCTCACAGGTACACCTTCTTGACAGAGCGGGTGGTTGAGTATCCATCAACCAGCCTGTGGTCATAATCTCGTGGTCGGTGATCACGGCCCCTTGTTCCATACTTCTCTGATGAACGCAGAGTTCCGTGAGTAGAGTATGACTCTGGTGTGTAATGCAAGGGAATATCATGAGGTCCTGCTGACACTCCAGTAGTAGGAAGCCCTAGAGATGGTCCCATGGGGGCTCCTACAGTCCCCACATTCCCTCCAGGAGTATTAGAGCCAGGTGTTTTTAAGGTAGCCTTAGGAGACATGTTCAGCACAAGATTAACAGGTTTATTGAGAGCCTGGGGAACCAAAACGGGCTCTGCATATGTTACTTCTTCTTGGAGTTCTCCTGTCAGCCGGCTGTGAGGAAATAAAAATAAATAATTTCAAGAAATGCTTTTGAGGGAAAATATTGCTAAACCTTAAATCTCTCATGGTGCATAGACTATATTGTGCTGGGAGTAGGTTAATTCAGTAGTATGTAACTACGTACTACAGTAAAATCCTGTAATTTTGTAAGTGAATGATAAAATTAAGTAACAAGAAATTTCCTTCATTTAAAAGGGATTGGTTAAAGATGGAAATGAAAACTTTCAAATTATATTTATAATTATCAACTGTATATTTCCCATTACTGAGGACATTTATGTCAACAGTAATGGCAGCGAGTTATGATACAACAGGCACGTATGACAGGTATTACCATATCTGCTTTGTCACAACAGGCACGTAGGACAGGTATTACCATATCTGCTTTGTCACAACATGCACTTTGAAATATAATTATGTTGAAACCTATCCCAAAACTAACTTTGCACTTGAAAATTACAATGAAAGGATAATGTAAAACATTTACCAAGATGACTGAACCCATGTAAAATTATGATGTATACTGTACAGATAACTATAAATGAGAGTATTTTTTCTGTGCAAGTAACACAGACTTACAAGTACTGTACATTATGTGC